GGAAGTGAAGTGTTGGGCGGATGTCCGGATGTCCTTCACAGAAATATGAAAAATGCTTTGCGCAAGGATCATTTTCATTTATTATTGTATACCTAATGACAAAATCCCAATAATTTGTTTTCCTATCTGATTCAAGCTAGTCGGACTGCTCATAACACTGGTCAAGCAAGAAAATAACAAAAATTTGAACTTTTTCATGACCGGTTTAAGATTTATTGTTAACATATCGTTATTTATTGCAACGGACTAACATTATAGATTTGGCCTCCATACTTTTTAAATGCAAACAGTTCTAACATACGGCTGTCCATTGCGCCGTGTTTTGTGTATTCTTCTATAAATCTGTAATGGTCAGCGACCAATGAGCTCACCCGCTCATGTCAAGCTTATATGCGCCGCGGGGAGAGATGGATGTCGAGTAGGAAGTGTCGGGCGTAGTGTCGTTGTTGTGTTTGTGTACATGTCGGTGCTGTGTAGTACGTGGTACTGGTGTTGCCTGCGTTGTATGTAGGGTTGCTGTGTAGTCGCGACCGTTCGCAACGTTAACAGACTCTTCTTTTTTTTAAATACAGGCTGCTAGAAATCTCGATAGGTGGCGCAAGTTACCGCCCGATTCTAAATAGTTTGCTCAAGTTATTTATCCATGTAAGTTCGGCATTCTTTTTTTTTTTTTTTTTTTTTGTCTAGCGGCTCGTTGAAGCTATCGACGCCGCCGACCGCCGGCAACGCACGTACGTACCTTTGCAAGTAGCTACGTCCGCCGCTTGGAGACTTTACTGTGTATAAAAGACATCGAACGAGAACTAACGCGCCCTGTGTGCTTTCAATTCGGCTGAAATGCGCGCGGCTCGCAGGGCTCGTCTCGCCTGTTCTCGGCCGCTGGCCGCCATGTTTCACAAGGAACACGCTCGAAACGTTTTTGCGGAAGGCAGACACGGTGTAGCGTGTTAAGTTTACACAGCACCTCATGTGTAGACGAAAAACACAGATGGCCTCGTGTAAAACGAACACGTTTCGACGTGTCCGCTATGGGACAACGGTTTACACGTCTGGGCGTGTTATTTTTGCTAACAGTGCAGAGAGGTTCTCGAGAAAGACGAAACATTGGGCTCAAGAACCAGCCTCAGTGTTGATGACCTATGCCGCCTTCTCGAGTTCTGCCTTGGCAGTACGTACTTCAGCTTCAAAGGTGAGATTTTCAAACAAGTCAGCGGAACGGCAATGGGCGCCTCTATTTCTGTCACGACGGCAAACCTCACAATGGAAGTGATTGAACAGAAAGCGCTTAGCACTTTCGCCAACAGGCCAAAAGAGTTCATGCGCTATGTAGATGACTGTTTTTACATCGTGAAGAAATCAGAGGTGAACCACTTCCTCGCACACCTGAATTCCATAGAACCGGTTATCCAGTTCACTGTAGAATACGAGAGAGATGGAGTCTTGCCGTTCCTCGATGCCCTGGTGAAAAGGCAAGGAGACAAGCTGGGGTTCACGGTCTACAGGAAGCCAACACACACCGGACGCTGCCTTGATTATGACTCGAACCACCCAACGAGTCACAAGACGCCCGTGGTCTCTACTCTCTTGTCTAGAGCAACGACCATCTGCTCGTCGGAAAGAGACAGAAGAAAGGAGAAGCAGACCATACATGCTGACCTCCAAAAAAACGGCTACTCAGGGAGTTTTGTTCAACGCGTCGCCCGTCGACAGTGCTGCACGCGCAATAACCATGGATCGTCGGGTGACACATAGCCCCGCCCCATCGCGCGCATCAGCATCCCCTATGTAAAAGGGACGAGCGAGACACTGGCGCGCGTGCTCCGAACAGAAGGGATCCAGGTGGCGCACAAGCCAGTGTCAACATTAGGACGGCTCATGCCAAGGCCGAAAGATCGCCTCCCAAAAGAGAAAGCACAAGGCGTGGTTTATAAGATACCGTGTGCGGAGTGCCCCGCCGCCTACATCGGTGAAACTAAATCTTTTCCCGAACGCATGCGCCAGCACCAGAACGATGTGCGAAATTTCGATCGCGAGCGTAGCGCCGTCGCGGAAGATTGTGAGGTATTTGATCATCGGATCGACTTCGGAAACGCGCACGTGATAGACACGGAGCCACATATTCGAAGACGCCTGTTCTTGGAGTCGTGGCATATCCAGAATACACCCGGGAACATTAACAGGTCCTTCGGGGCCTTACCATCTATTTACGTCCATGGCCTGAGTCACGTTCACAAAACATCACCTCGGTAGAAGAGGAAGGAGAGGTCGAAGCTCGCGCTGGTCCCATTCCATTTTAGTCACCCCTGAAGAAGGAGTCAAGTCGACCCCGAAACGTTGGGAACTCTTTGTTTCTAAACTTTTGGTTTGAGTTTTCTTTTTTTTTTTAATTGTTCCCCAAACCAGACAGATTTCTGTTGAAGATGTTTACTTTTAAGTAATGGAAAGAGTACGGTAAACATAATATGGCTCGTGCTCATAATAAATCGATTATAGTCTATAATTTGTTTGAAGTTATTTCAAGAGTAGTCATGATGTCAATTAGGCCGAATCAAAAGAGTGATCAAAATGAGAACTGAGCTGAGAATAAGTCACTCGGTGGAATAAAAGCTCAAAGTAATATTAAGAGGGAGGATTATGTCAGACCAATATAAAGTCAAATAAGTCACTAGTTACTCAAAGTTATCAAGATGTCAATAAGGCTAATATTAACTCAGTTATGTGACTAATATATCTGAGAAAGATAAAAGGTAACCACTACGTTAATTTAAAGTCAGTTGGGGGAATACTAACACGGATTAATCAAAGGAGTAATCAAACTCTTACTGAACTTATATGAAGTCGCCTTTGTCAATATTAATTCAAAGTGATCGACTGAGTAATGAAATGTTTGCTTTAATAAAGTCGTTTGTGTCAATAATAGCTATATAACCAAAAAGTAATCAGATTATCAAATAAGCTTCTACATAGTTATATTTTTGTCAATAATTCCTCGAAGTAATCGAGAGAGTAGTAAAAATGTTGGAATTTTATTATGTAAATTTTGTTATTAATAGGTCGAAGTAATCAGAAGTGGAAGAGATTTTAAGTCAGCGGTGGCAATAATACCGAGAAGCAATAAAAAGAGTAATCAGAAATTACATTTGTACTCATATCATCCGAACTGTATCAATATTAAGTCGAAGTAATGAGAAAGAGTAAACAAAACGTCAGTTCAGCTACAGTCAAGTGCGCCACTAATACCTCGAGGTTACCAAAAGAATAAACCACATGTCAACCGTGGTACTAGTAACTCCAAGTGATTGAAATAGTGATCAATATCAGTGTTGCGGAATGGGCACCTCGATTCCATTCCAATTCCATTCAGGGAATTAAAGTTATCAATAATTCAATTCCTTTCAACTCCTAGGAATGGGGACACTGGGCCAATTCCCACTCCTGGAATGGCTGAATCGTTCCACTCCATTCCTGTAATTTCTAAACGTAAAAACTGGCACTTGACAGCTACATTGCAACGTTTCCGGCATAAGCAGCATAATGCTGACATTATCAAACGCATAAAAAATTGCAAAAGAAATGCTAAATCCATAAAAAAAAGCACTGATCCTACTAAGCTCACGGTGCTGGATTGCCTGGGGTGACTCGAAGCGTCCGAAGCGGTCCATCACAAGGTGAAACAAGCTATGCAGAGACTAAAGTCAAAGTAAATGAGTGGGCATCCGCTAGCTTGCTTAGAGCCCTAAGCCACTTGAATGTAAAACATATAACACAGGAAACAAGCATTGCAACAAAGACCAAGTAAATGGCGGGCTTACACGTAAAAATGCAGTATAAAAAAACAAGCGTCGGAGCAAAGCGCAAGAGGAGGAGAGAAGTGAATATCACTTTGTTTTATTGCCGAAGCACACCAACATATCGCACTTCAAAGGAGTGCGCGCGAATAAACGTGGAAGGCAGCAGGGTTGGCCGCCGGCTAAACAACGCTCCTCGAACTATAAGAAAACTATTACTGGTCATCTTTCGGCGGCGTGCGAGTCAACGAGTTATCAGAGCTCTGCGAGTTAGTCGCCCCCCACTCCCAAATCTCAGTCTGTGCGCGCGTGCATGCTGCATGTCGTCGCGCAAAGAAAAAAGAAAGACAGGTAGGACGATGAGGAGCCGTGCTTCGTTTCTTTTGCTTGGTGCTTGGTTTCTTGTTTCGCTCTTGTGTAACACCAGTGAAGCCCGTCGCCTGCGCGTCCGTGAAAGGCGCCACTGCCACCGCTACCGCCACCCCCCTCCGCCTCCCCCCTCTGGTCTTTGCCCTGACGCTTGTTTTTGTATTGCATTTTTTTGCGTATAAGTTTGTTATATCATATATGGCACCACGCGCGCCAGCAGTTTCCCGCTTATTTTATTTCGGAGCAACTGACTCGCTCACTGGCTCGGCTTAGCTGAACGTATCCCCCCCCCCCCCCCAAAAAAAAAAAAAAGAAATATATATATATATATATATATATATATATATATATATATATATATATATATATATAAATAAAGAACCGGGCCCATTCCATTCCCATTCCATTCCGGTCCAAGAGGCATCTAATTCCATTCCCATTCCATTCCGGGGTCGCGAAAATGCGGAATGATTCCGGAATCATTCCAACTCCGAAGTGGCAACTCCGCAACACTGATCAATATATCTGTGGTACCAAACAAAATCTAATTGTATAAATGGTTACTCGAATTTATCAAAAGTGTAAGCGAAACACAACCACTGAAGACAAACGTGGCCATGTATATATACATGCCCGCGTTTGTCTTCAGTGGTTGTGTTTCGCTTGGATTATGGATTAAATTGACTGACCCCGGGATTAAATCAAGTAGCCCTGGGATTAAATTGAATGGCGCTTGGATTAAAGTGACCACCATTTGGATTAAAATGAGGGGGAAAACCTGCTGTAGTTCACTGCAATTTCCTCGCCGAGTACTTGATTTTCTCCTTTCTCTTCGTGTTTCAGACCTTCGACTTGCACACGAAGCTGAGCAAGAGGAGGGGCACCGACCGCGACGCTGAGAACCTCGACTTCCGCTTCAGTGCTCTGGGGTTTGACACCGTCACACACAAGGACTTCAGTGTCAGGCAGATGCTGCTTGAACTGGACAGACGTGAGTGCGCTGGACTTGCAATAGCAGCAAGTCTGATCGCAAGTGCTCATCGTAATACATTCTACTACATTTCACCGAAATGTGAGGAGTTGATGCTAGCACCGCGCCTGATACAAATTTCTATTTCTTAATACTGTCACCAGACGGGCACGTTAAATGACATTTAAGCAAAATGACATTATAGCTCGGCCAATACCCGTGTTTAATACGCCACGCGGCGCGTGCACTCGCCACGTGCAGAGCCAGGATCACGGGCTGATTCGCCGAGCGATCAATGACATTCGATCAAAATGACATTTACTTTCCCGTCTGACAGGGGTATTAGTCGCATCGAGTCAAGTTATCGCAAGTTGTCATGTAAACCGCATAATGCGCTAGGAAAGCGCATCGCATTCGAGTCGCTAGACGAAAGTGGATCGAGACGGCGAAAGCGCATTCATTCAGCCCGTGTAACTGGAGGTAACATTGCATTCTGGAGCGGAGGCGATTATGGGAAGGCGCACGCTATGGGAACAAGTGAACAGCTGAGAACATGGCGGCTGTCAGAGCTGTCCGGTTTGGTCGCCCACAGTTTTCTTCCGAGAAGGAACGCAAGTTTTTATTTCCGAGTGAGTGGAATAGAGCCGATCTGCTCGGCGAGGGCCGCCCCCGCCCAAGCCTCGCGAATTACGACCTGCGCGTCCAACGAAGTCTCTAGAGTCTTCGGCGCAAACACAAACGACGCCGAGAGCTCCGAGCACTGTATGGTACCGCAGAGCGAGCAGCTCCTACCTCGGCGCCGTCCCTACCTGCGCCGGAGCCTTTTGGCGTGGGGATCTGGTCGTAGTTGGCGAGGCGAAGCACGGTAGCATCCTCGAAACGGTTAGAAACGATCTGGATCGCTAGGGCGTGCTCACGTATGTCCCCTGTATTCCAGAGTGGCCTGGCGGCCCTTCCTGGAGCCCAAAGCTCTTGGGTATTGATGTCTTTTGCGTCTCGTAACATCTTGCACAACGTGGAAGATGGCGGGCGCGATCTTTAAACTCGTCGAAAAGGTTCCAGCACGCGAAGTACTGGAAAACGTGGCCACGTGGCGCATGTGGTGCCGGAAACCCAGCATTAACTTTGAGATTTGACAGGGCTTGGCGCCACCTTTGCATAGGGCTTGCCAAGGACTTGGTACGTCTCCGTGTAAACGTTGATGCGTCGTCTTCATTCAAATGACGATTGGAGTCGATGCGCTGAAATCGCTTTCATGCCTGCTACACTGCTGGATGTTCACAGTACGCTTGTACAAAATTTCAGCAATAAATGGTCAATCCGAAGCGCGGAGTATTCAGTTCAACCTTCGTATCGAACTCTGACGGTATTTGGAAGTTCCTCATTGTTGGGGGTCTGTCTATGAGAGTTTAGTTCCATGAAGCACTCTTTTCTCATGTACATGGGTGCACTGCAGAGAGGCTACACCCCCAGAGTGGACACTGCAGTTTTTCGTATCACAGCGAAGCAAGGGTACGGAAAATACTAGGACCATCCTACATCTGTTTTCTTGGAGCCTCTTTTTTTTTTACGCTCAAATATGTTTATGTTTAGCCTATTTCCGAATGACTCATACCCGCCAGCCGCAACTATCGTTCCCAGTAAAACGTCGCAACACAGGCAAAAAAACAAAACAAAAAAAAAAAACTACACATCAAACCTTCTATTATCATACACACATAAATGACAAACAACAATTAAAGAAATCCACGTCTCCTGAGGCAGTTTAGATGTCACTAAGTTTTTTTTTAAAATGATTTAAAGGCATAAGTAAACATGTCAACTGAATGTCCTGAGACACTATTGAACCAGGCTTCCATTTGGATGAGAAACGAAATTTGAGAGTTCCCACCAACATTAAGCAGTTCCATTTACCTCAAAGAGCAACACTATGTTATCTGCCAAGTTGTTTCAGCGTAATGAGCAAAGCCAGGACAATTACGTGCATGTGTTTCCCATCTGTTATTTCTATGAGCAGCTATTGCACATCCATTATAGAGCAATGATCTGCATCTGCCACAGAAGTGCTGGTGCTTTATCTGCCGGTACGGACCTGCATACGGTAAGGTCAGTTTGCACGAAAGAAATTACTTACTCTACCAGTATCTTCGCTGTGTTAGTGATTTGAATGTTTGTGCACTATTACAACGAGGAAGCATCCACCAACCAGGTAGTGTCAGGGAAATAGGGAAGTCTGGTAAACCATGAAATTTCTGCCAAACAGGCTTCAGCTGCTTTCCCTCCGGGACGAAAGGCATCCCGTACCACTTGACTCTCCGTGAACGGATACTAAGCGATCTCCACAACAATATGGTTGATTCCTGCTGCCAGGGGAAGGGATGTCTAAAAACTTAGACGGTTTTTCTATAAATATGTTTCACTGTGTAGAAAACCTGTACAGAAAGGCAAGTTACGGTCAAAATGTCTGGTGTGTTCAGAACCTCTTTCATGAATTTTTTATAGCGAGCTTCTCCGCTTACCGTAAAATACCAAGCATGCGCCCATGTTGCAACAAGTGCCTGCCCCATGCTTTTGAAACATTAGAAGTGGAGACGGAAGGCATATCAGGCACCCGCTACAACGAACTTCTAAGCCCATCTAGCTAGCCAGGGAGCTTCTCCGTGTCAGCTGCTTCTCTTAGAAGCTGGTGCAAAGCGTTGAAGTTTTATGCTCGTGCACCGGTGCAAAGTGGTGAAACTTGATGCGAGATCGCCGGCGCAATGCAGGCTTGACAAGAACGGCGTAATTGCTTTGAAGGGGTTCTGCATGACCCATATACACCTCCTACATTGTTCAGTTGGACTAAACAAAAGTATTTCCTACCGCTCTTTACTCTACTCTCGTTGTTTTAGGCTTCAAGGAACCCAGTTTTAGGAGGTCGCGAGAGTGTGAACGGCCTTTAGAAGTGTTTAAGTGTACCTTGAGCCTTTTTATTTTTTTATTAAAGGCATTTAATCAATAAAAAATCACCAGTGCTCCGATCCGATGAGTCGTACAATTTGTTCTGTCTGTGGAGCCGCGGGTACATCACACATTTTGCTGCGTTTGTTCAACTGGGGTTGCGCTCAACTGGACATGCGCTCTCGTGTCATGCGTTCTACAGGGTGATTCAAGGAGAAGCCAGGCTCTTTAAATCGACCGCAAAAGTCGGTTTCTTAACCTATGGCGCTATGACTTTGTGCAGCGTTGCCCACAGATGGTGCATTTTTTGTGTAAAAATTTCAAAGAGCGAACTTACCTGAGGAAAAAGTAAAAAAAGAAAAAGGCTTAGCTCCTATGGAAACGCAGCGAAGCCACCGGTCTTCAAACAACAGGGCGCCGTTTCGCGCGGGAGACAAGAGATGGTGCAACAAACGCCACCAACAAACGAGCATACGGCGCCGAGAGCCGGCGTCTTTAGCAGACGATCTTTCGACTCAAAAGCAGACCGCGTTCCACAGGCGGCGACAGTCGCAGAAACAAAAACAGGCGCGGTAACAACAAGGAACTGCAGTTCCTTGCCTGCTAAAGACGCCGGTTCTCGGCGTCGTATGCTCGTTCGTTGGCGGCAGTTGGCGTCGCGACCGCTTGCGCCATCTCTTGTGTCCCGTGCGAAACGGCGCCGTGTTGTTTTGAAGACCGGTGGCTTCGCTGCGTTTCCATAGGAGCTAAGCCTTTTTCTTTCTTTACTTTTTCCTCGGGTAAGTTCGCTCTTTGCAAATTTTACACACACAAAAAAAAAGCACCATCCGTGGGCAACGCTGCACAAAGTCGTAGTGGATAGGTTAGGAAACTGAATTTTGCGGTCGATTTAAAGAGTCTGTGGTTGAAAAAACCCCGAGACTGCAGGCAAACGACACAACACTAAAAAGTCTCTAACACAGCTGAAATTTTTATTTTCCAAACTTGGTTATATAGGCACTTCGATACAAAAGAAAAAAGGGGGAGAGGGTGAGAACCCCAAAGAATGCCACTTTCCACCAACGTAACCTCTGACTAAACAATGAGGACAACAGACTCTGCGTCATGCACTTCCCTTATCTTTGACCCCTCGCTTCCCGACCGCCAAACACACTGGTAACCCCCAAGCCCAGTAAAGCATGTACAAAAAGAAAAGAAAAGAACGACCCCCATCGTCCCCTCTACCCGAAAACCTACACACATAAACCTTGAAGTTCATCACTTTTCACAGCCTAAGAAAACGCCGCAGTTCAGTGTCCAACCCAAACGACGGCTTATTAACTGCGTTCCCATGACCTAATATCGTTAATGACTCTTTTATCAACCGCTTATGGTCATCTTTTTCCCGTAACTCTACTGAAGTTAGTTGCCACAACGGTACACAGTTCCTACATTCGATCAGTTGTTTTGACACTTCGGAGTACGGGTCTTTTTTCTTTATACAACGTTTGTGTTCAGTCAACCGCTCATTTATACACCGTTTAGTCTGCCCAATATAACAAAGGCCACAATCAAAGGGTATCTTGTGAATGACACCCGACGAACATTCCACATCCCTTTCTCTGTGTTTTATCGCGCAAGCTGAAACAGTCGAGGCAAAAGGGATCAAACGGCTCAATCTTTTTTCTTAGGCTGTGAAAAGTGATGACCTTCAATGTTTATGTCTGTAGGTTTTCGGGTAGAGGGGACGATTGGTGGGGGTGGGGGGTCGTTCTTTCCTTTTTTTTTGTATATGTTTGACTGGGCTTGGGGATACCAGAGTGTTTGGCGGTCGGGAAGCGAGGGGTCAAAGATAAGAGAAGTGCATGACGCAGAGTCTGTTGTCCTCGTTGTTTAGTCAGAGGTTACGTTGGTGGAAAGTGGCATTCTTTGGGGTTCTCACCCTCTCCCCCTTTTTTCTTTTGTATCGAAGTGCCTATATAACCAGGTTTGGAAAATAAAACTTTCAGCTGTGTTAGAGACTATTTAGTGTATTTAGTGTTGTGTCGTTTACCTGCAGTCTCGTTTTTTTTTCAACCATGTGCAATGTACACCACCTCGTATGCGCCCTTACATTTTGTTCATTAAAGAGTCTGACCTCTTCTTGAATCACCCTGTAGTGTCAAGCGCGCTACTATCACAGCGCTCTCGTGTCATGCGCTCTAACCTCGGCGCTCTCGTGTTGCGCGCTCTAAAGGCGCTCTCCCTAAGTAGATCGCTGCGATTAATCCGGTAATGATACCCGATCTGCTGCCAACGCCTTTGCGCATGCATCATATTGTTATGGGAGGTATCGAAAAAAATTTACTAAAACTCCCCGTTATCTTCAACTTTTCCATGGGCGCTTGTTCAGTATTTTACGGTACAGTAACGGTGAACAGCGAACTGAACAAGTGCTTCAGAGCGCATGAGTCATTGGCAAACCGGCCGCCGATTAGAACTAGCTAGCAGACGCGACCGGCCGACCGGACGCCGTGGTGATCCCGGGGTGCCTCACGGCACTGCGACTTGCCTCGCAGTGGGGAACGAGGACCACAGCCACAGGGACTGCTTCGTCTGCTGCATCCTGAGCCACGGCGACGAGGACAACATCTTCGGGACGGACGGCAAGTTCCCCGTGGACAGGGTGTTTCAACCGTTTCGGGGAGACGTGTGCCCCAGCCTTGTGGGGAAGCCCAAGCTTTTCTTCATACAGGCGAGTTGACATTTGTTTAACGCGAGTTCACATCTGCTTCGCACAAATGTAAACCCGGTTTGTTTTTTAGACATTGAATTGCATACCTAGAGCTCAGCTGGGGTCTTGAAGTAAACAGATTTTCAAAAGAAGCACCACTTTTGTTTTCCGTGAGTGTGTTACAGAAAATGGGCCGTGACCGCATTGGCATAGTCATTTCCAAGGCTTGTTTCATTTGGAAAGAGGTAGCGATGGGTAAAGGTTGTTGCCGTAAAATACCGATCAAGTGTCTACCTCAACTTTGGAGACAATCTCGAAAAACTGGGGCGTGGGTGTTTGTTAGGTCCGATAGAGCGAACATGCTGGCAGGGCCACGTGATGCGGTGGGCTTCACCGCCGTGCACCGGCGGGCTCGGGGAAGCAGTTGATGCGGGAGAGCGTTTCGGTTAGCCAGTGTGCTCTAGAGTCTGGAGTAGGCACCTGCTATGTTTTTTACTTCATTTCCAAACTCTTTAAGATAAACAAACATGTTGTTTATAATATTGGATAGGATCTTGCTTATTGTAGATGATGTTTTCTTTATTGGAACGACCTTTATAGTGCCAAGTCCTGCAGCTACGTTGTTTTGCAGCCCCATTCTTTATTTTTGTACTTCACTTGGAGTTGTCGGCGACAGCATAATTGACCCTGGAATACAAGAACCAGTTACTCTGTCATTGCATGAATTTGTCATTTGGGGCTTATCTGGTACTCATACATTGATAAAATGTCGGTTCATCGTGTCAGCTAGCCCAACGCCGCTTATCTTATTGTTGTTTTGTGCTGAGTTCCTGCAGATTATTTTGTGTGCCTTTCCTGTTTGTTAAGTTGTTCACGGTATCCCATATTTTTCTCGGGTCATCAAAGATGCCTTCAAATTTTCAAAGGTAATACTCAGATTTGGCTTTTCTGATTTCACGATTTAGTGTGTTTCGTACTTTATTTTTAAGTTCGGCTAGTATGTTTTTATCTCGTTTTTTGATAAAGCGATGGTACAAATTGTTCTTCTTTTTTATCCTCTTATAAAGAAGATTGTCATTCCACGGCTTGGGAGCTTTGTTTTTCGTTTTCTTGAAATATTTAAGGGGAATGCGTCATCATATAGTTGCCTCATTTTCCTCATGAACTCACTATAAGCTAGGCTATGATTTTCTTCAAAATATACCGCACTCCAGACTTCATTTCAACTAAGTCCTTGAACTTTTGAATGCTTCGTCAGTTCTTCTACGATATTGAAATGATTCTTGCTCTTTTTCTTTGTATTTGTTGGGAATAAAGGCTAGCCAAAAAATGGGAAAATGGTCACTAATCTCTTGGGTAAATATTACGGTCATGGCATCACTTGTGCTTGAATTTGTTACACAGATATCGATTGATGTGGCACTTTCTAAGGTGACCCTAGTTGGCAGCGTTACAAAATTGCTACAGACGTAGCACATTATGGTTTCAATAAAATCTGTGGCATGTAGTGTGTCTGAGAGTGTATTAATATTGATATCACCCATTAAGAAATATGGGAGTGATTCTGAAGTGAGAAAGCCGAGCAAACGATCGTAAAATTCAATAAAACAGCTTCTGCTTCCTTGGGGGGGGGGGGGGGGGGGGAGGGGAGGGGAGGTCGGATCGGTACATGGCAGCAACTAATGCCCCTTCAACATGTACCGTGAGGCTTTCAACATTTTCGTTTATTATCGTGAAAGCGTCCACTGCTGAATAAGAGCAGCTGTTTTTAACATCTATAAGAATTACCCCACCTTTTTTATTGTCCTTCGTTAAGTTGGTACAGCTGTAGCTCTCAAAATGCTGCGGTTGATCATTTTTGTTCAACCATGTTTCGGTACAGATAACCACGTCAAAACTAAGAGAAAGCGATAAAAAAATATATCAAGAGCGTCTGTTTTTCCATTAATACTTCTTGCGTTTATGTGAATAGCTGAGAACGTAGATGAAAATTTCCTTCCAGTTTCATTAAAATATTCAGCCGTAAAGTACTCACATGGCTGTTTTTTCTGCATTTTCAAGGAATGGCCATAAAAGCCTATAATCTTACCAGTTTTCTTCCTACACCATTTTTGCTACGTCAGCTTAGGTAGCAAACCTCAACATTTCCGAGCCATCGGTTTTGCGTGCCATCTTTGGTCCAGATATACTTCCAGCTTACTTACTTTTTTTTTTTGCGCTAGCGGCGCCCATTAGCTTCTTGTTTAGTCGTGTTAGATGTTCGTTTATATAAACAGCGTTAACCGGAACCACTGAAGCCCAGTGTTTCAGTTGTCATCCGCTTCTTTTTTGCTTTCATGAGCAGTGCATTTCTCTTGGATCGTTGCAGGAAGCGCGCAATTATATTTTTTTCCGTTGGCTTTAACGTAGGCGCCCTCTGGCATATATCAATGTCTTTTCCGTCCACTGCTTCACCCACTAGTTCACCTCTCTCTTTTAGAATGTTTCTTGCGTCAACTTGTGGCGGGATTCCCCTGATTTCTAGCTTGTTCAGTCTTCCACTGATTTCCCAGATCATCTAGTCTGACACGTAAATCATTGTTTTCCCGTTCTAGCTCATGATTATATTGTGTCAGTTGTTGTATTTCATTTCTTAATGATTTTAGGTCATTGGAGATCGTCTTTACCTCGTCGCAGGTGCCACTGTTGAATTTGACACTATCGTTTACTGATCGGAGATCAGCTCGTATCTCGCGGCACTGATCATCGATCACCTTCGCAAAATTTTCTTTTTCTTTCGCCATGGATGAGATAAAAAAATAAACCAGGCCGCACAGTACACGGCACAATACAGACAGGAACTTCGGCTGTGCTCGGCAGCAGTGCAAAAACAATTGTCTTTGCACTGCTGCGTAGAGCGTAGAAAAAGGTTCGCTTGCATTGTCTACGCAGGCTCTCACCTGCGTAGTCAATGTTTGTTTGTTAGATGCTTGTTGGCAAAGCACCGCTGCCGAACTGAAGACGGACGAGGATTGTTGTCGCTTTTTATAGCTTCGTAGGTCTAAATGGCCACTGGAAGGCGCTGCGGTCTTCGGCACGTGTTTTTTTTTGGAAAGGGGTCATGGTGCCTGGCTTGACTTTTGGAAACGCAGTGCTATGCATGAAATCCGAAGTGCATGCGAGACTAGAAATAAAACAGCGCGGAGTAAGTAGACTGGCTTTGGGGGCACATTGCAAAACGCCAAACCAGGAGTACAAGGAGACATGGGATGGGCGTCATTTGAGAGCAGGGAAGCGGTGAGCAAGATAGAATTTGAGGATAGGTTGAGGCAAATGGATGGGGAGCAATGGGCACGAAAGGTTTTCAGCTATTTATACATGAGGAGTGTAGACACAAAGTGGAGACAACGCACTAGGAAATTAAGAGAAAAGTTTTTGGGCTATAACAAAGATACGGAAGAGCAAGTTTCAGTTAAGAAGAAAGTTAAGGCCACAGAAAGAGATCGGTGGCTAGAGGGAATGCGGACAAAGACGGCTCTTGAAAGCTATAGATTAAACAAAAACAGTTATTGCCAAAGAAAGCATTTATGACAATTCTAGGGGAAGCTCATTGCTGTTTGAGGCGAGGACGGGTGTTCTGCGAACCAGAACATACAGAGTGAAGTACCAGGAAATGGATACAGTGTGCACTGCTTGTGGAGAGGAGGACGAGACGGCTGAGCACTTGATACTCTACTGTAAAAAGCTTCACCCTATGCCTACCGAAGATAACATAGATATAATAAAGTCATTGGGTTTTAGAGACAGCGAAGGGAGAGTGGATTTCAAGATTGTAGCGATTACCAAGCAAAGATTAAGTGAATGGCGGCAAAAATCGAGAGAAAACTAGGTATTTTCTTATTCACTGATGGCAAGGGGGTTTCATAGCCTCACTTTCTTTGCACTGCGGAGTGAATATAGATTTCACATTTAAATATTCTAAGCTGAAAATGGCTAGGTGGCGTAAGCTACCGCCCGATCCAAAGGGCTCAGCCGTATTCATCCATCCATCCTTTATCCATCGTGTTGCCATCGCAGTGACGGTGTGCAGTTCCTCCTCCCCGGTGACGAGTCAAGTTGTAGGCTACGGCAGTATCTGCGTATCAATGTTTGTTTGTTAGATGCTTGTTGGCAAAGCACCGCTGCCGAACTGACAGACAGCTGTCTAAACGTACGCATACCACAATAATGAATTATTATTGACATGGGATGCGTGCTCGGTATTTTAAGGCACAGGATAATTAATGTGCGTTTTAAATGTCTCGTTCGGTCTTCGTTCGCAGGGTCCTGAAGCTGTGTGACAAATGAGGTTGGACATGAACAGAAGGGCGAGACACCACGCAGTGAAAAGGGTGCATAGATATTTTTTTTTTTTTTTTTTAAGTTGGGGAGACATGCGTGGCAGTTAAAAATGTAAGGTAAAAGTTGTGAAAGTAATGTGAATCCTGAACATCGATGTAATAACGCTGAACTGCGCCGTTTCTAACTCAAGCTTAAGTGCAGCAGCTGTATATACCACAGAGTAATATACACAAGGTAAAGAGCGGACACTGCCATAGGCCCCAGCGGCCCAGATAAACTAGTAACAGCTAGCGCTCCTAGCAGGTGGCCTTAAACACAATCCAGTTCCGGTTCCGGTCAAGTTAGTTTCGGTTTCGGTTTGGGTGTTTCTGCTCCGGTTCTTCGGCACCCTTCTCCTTCTCTTTCTCCCCATCTTTCCTTGTTGCGTCGCCCCTCGCTATGCTCTCGGGAGCTCTTCGGCTCCCGGAGCCGATGTTCTTTTTTCTTTTTTTTCTTAATGTTGACGCAGTTTTATTTTAATTTTTACGATATATTCCGTGTAAAATGGGTAAAACAAAATTTCTATTATATTCTTAACGAGCGTGTTGGTAAGATGTACTAGATAACAAAAAGTATAAAACAGAGAGAGGACGAACACAGACAAGTACATTCTTTCAACTCACAACAAAGTTTATTCCATTGAGTGCGAACGCACGTTCCTC